TTTTTTGTATATTTTATACACAAATGCAAATGGATACTCTTTTTTATTAAACAATATGAAACAAGATCATAACGAAGTGTAGAACAATATTTCATTGAAAACGTATCGATTAAACGGAAATCGATTTCATTGAAAATACTTTTAAAGGGAAAAGTCTAACAAATAGACAGATGACAGCATATGAAAGTGTAGTAATGAAATGTATTTTTCACAATACCATTTAAGATCTTCAACTGCAAGTGTCTAGCATTTATTGCAAAAGCCTCCAGCCGATTGCATATACGATTTTTTATGGATTGATTCTATGTCTTCACTTTTAGGCTTCCCGCTCCCACTTTAAGCTTACGTAAAAACACTAGTGATAGTTTATTAATTACTCAACATTTCCCCGCATTCACTAAATATATCTCAAAACGATGTAATACTATAACGTTGACAAAAGGCGAATATATGATTATATCTGATGTGAATTTACACATTTAAAACGTTTGGTATAAATTTCTTGTAGTTGGATCGTGAAACAACTTCACTTACTCCTCTTCCAATAATCTAAATCAACGCTTATTCATTTCCTCCCAAAGTATCAACTTGAAGTTTGTGTGAGTAGAGTAGGTACAAAAATGTTTCAGGATTCACGTTTAAAGTGTATTTTTCACGGTGTGAACTGTGTCAAATGCAAGTTACGTTGTTTTTATAATTTTTAGGCGAGTATTTGGTGTTTAAAATGCAGTATTAATTCCACTCTTAATAAATGTTTTTAGCGGATACCTTTGTCACCCAATGAAGTCATTCTTCATGATTATGTTTTTATTCATTCTAGTACTTCTACCGGTGTCAGTTATCCTTCTAGTTCCAACACGTCTTGGACCTCGAATGATTGGATGGACAATCGTTTACCTTGTCCCACTTTTACTAATGAGCACTTAGTATCCTTTATCTAAATTGCAGGTTTAAGAAAAGAAGTTATTTGTTCCATTTTATATGATATAATTTATACCTAAATTGAATGGTATATAACTCAATCTCGTAAGTACATAAATAAGAAACAATGATCATCACGTTGACATGCAAAGGCAATATGTTGAATAAAATCCTATTATTTTTAACACCGAGTGGAAACCAAATCTTCAAAAACCCCAGTTGCAACTAATTAGCCATGTAAGAGCAATGATGAAAAATATCATCGATAACAAATATATCACTCACTGGATACTTTTATTTGACTTGTATTTAGTAGGGTCACAATACTATTCTCCAACCTTTTTTTCCCACTTAAACTGATCTCTAGTTGCCTATAGTAATTTCGATTTAAAATTTCTACAGACGTTGTAAACCTTACTTTTAAAGTTTAGAAAATAAAACATTTTGTTGTATCCTAGTAAAGATTAAATTACGAGTAACTTCTAAGACCTATTAATGGACTTATATTATAGATATAATCCTATTGTATAACTGCTCAGTAACTAGATTATGTATATTTATACTCCTCTTATTATAAGTTACATTTTGACCTGTAGATTATTATTATTATTATACGATTTACTGTTCTTAAATTATACTTAGTTTATTAATTACTGTTTCCCACGTTTTGGCTCTATTGTGTATAAATGTTATTGCATATTTTATGGTGCGATGCGGTCTGTTTGGCTGATATATAAACCAAGTATGTTTGAAATAGATGATTGACATAGTAGAAGCTGTTATTGGTGTTCTGGACTCAACTGGACGGGCTAGGCGAGTAGAGGACCAATAGGACACCAGACTGATCAGACCGGTCGGACGTACAATACACGAGAGAATAAGTCGTATTTTGATTGGCGAATAAATTACATGATAACTAGCCGGACTTAAAGTCACAACAAAATTTGGAGTTGCTGTCACCAATTAGTCCATTAATCTGTCTCAGAAGTTACGCGTAATTTAATCTTCGCTAGGACATAACACATTTTAATACACCTTACCATAGTAGAGATTTCCTGTACAATTCAACATAGATTTATTGATTATTACTAACCTTTCTTAACTAGAATAGTTAGTTCATTTGTTACAGATACTCCAACATTTTGTTTGCTAGTGTAGAACAGGATCACCAGACCAAGAAATTACATCAATTTATAATACCATTAAATATTAGACCTAAGAAACATTCTATAAATCGATGCTTTTTGGAAGGATGTTAAGAATCAGTATATTAAAAATTGAGTCAAACAAAAGTTAGGTTTGATAATAACCAAATATGATACGATACAAATGTTTTACGACTTATTTTCTCTGATCGATTTCTCAATAGACCGCCATTCAAATATGTTTCTGAGTATAGAAAAAATTTTGTTTCCAATCATAAGTCGCTTTAAAACATCTATTTATCAGAAGTGCTTGCGATATTTTAATTTCACTCCTTGCGAGCAATCCCATTAATAGGGTTAGTGTATAAATCTAAAGTTTAATATTCTTTTGAATGTAATGTGTTTGTATCACAACATAAATTATGTAATCAAGAGATAGCTTGCATAAAAATACTTTATCTATCAAATATTACTTCTGTTTAACGAATAGTAATGCTCTACTTCAAGATTAGTTTTTATTTGTCTATTATCTTTCTCCTCTCATCACTAGTTCTTCAGATGTAAACTTTAAGGAACCATTCACATTTCAATAAACTTCATTCTTGCTGTTCTTAAGTCGAGAAGTTTTTAATAACGTTATTCCAAACATCGGATTTTTTCTAACATTGATTTTATCTTAGTAGTTATATCTATTATCACATACTATCAACACACTTATACTTACCCTAAAGAAGTCCAGACAAGTTTGCTGGACGAAACGTTGAGATTATTTAAATTTCAGTGGCTGAGATTATTTCAAATATAATTTTCACAAGTTATGACTTATACTTATTGTTTATCGATTATCAATGTACCAAAATAACACACTGGCCTCATGTTAATGCTAGGTGTGTAGTGATTATTTTTTGTTTCTTTACTTACAATGTAAGACAATCATCCTAATTCAGGAATTTTCACCCTAGTAATGATAAAAGATCACTTTTTGGAAACTTTTAATGAATTATTGTCTGTTCGTATACTATTACTTAACTTCCAATCAATTTCACTAGTTATGAAGTTTCATTCTTTGCCGTATTCGCTGTAGTCACCTATCTATGGTTTTATATAGAAACGAAAACACTAATTTTAAAGGATAATATCAGGGTGAGTTTGGTCCATCTTATCAAATTTCGTTCAGCATTATCTATATTAATCTTCTGTTGGTAATTTAAAAAAAACTGGATGAATGTAAGTACACTGATTAGCTCTCCTCTTTTTGGAGTCTATCTCACACTTCTTTTTATACAAATTTTTTTGTATTTTGAATATTCATCTCTTACCCGAAGATGTAGCAATTTTTATATTTTTGGATTGTGGTTAATACTTAAGTCGAAGACAGGTGTTTCTTGCCGATCGGAAATTCTCAGCTATGTGTATTCTTATTTCAGAGTTAAATTCTCAATCGAACATAGATTGTTTCGCACACGACAGCGTTATCTACAAGGCAAATCAATCACGATAAACATTATTTGTTCATATTAGTTGTCAGAGTTTGAACAAAAGATTCGAGCTCTTGCTAACAAGTAGGACATACTTTAAAAAACTTCCAAAAACTCGCTTCTTTGCGAAGTATGTACTAATAAGGCTTAAAGCTTCACTATCAAATTGTGCAGCTAAAAGAAAATAACACTCCTCATACATTATAAACTCGGTCATTACACTAGTTAGATGATGAATTTTGATTTAATTTCTTGTTTTATATTTTTTCATGATTATTAGGTTTGGGATCTTGAGACATCAACTGACGACAGCATTCATTCAGCTATCCAGAATCAATATCCGTACAGTGAAAGTCCGTTAAACCTGAAGAGATTTCGTCAATCACTTTTCTTTGTATCCTTTTTCTACAGGAAAAATTTACTAGTTTACGCTTACACTTACTCGAATACATTTAATAGAGATAGTGTAAAAAGATACTATTTTATGGCATCACTTCTATTTAGATGTTTATTATTACTATTGTGATACAACTCAATAGTCACTTATACACTGACCTACTCATCGTTTGAGGACATCGCAACACTGAACGAATTGAATGAAAGTTTACAATGACAGTAATTTAATGAAAATGACCATAAACCGGTTATTAACCAGTCCTACTGTAGTGAACGAGAACACAGGTGGGTACAACCGAATGTATTTGAACACAAAATTACAGGATCTCTTAGTAAAATCTGAGAACTATACAGTAAATAGTTCATCTGCAAAATGTTAATCGATTATCTCAAACTTGACTGTTTCCACACTAATCACTCTGTTCTCGTACTCTCCGAGCTTCTTAACCTTCTGCTGTATTTCATTTCCGATTGATGATACATACTACTTATATCTGTCGACATCAGTAGCACACATTGCACTACAACACCGTTTCTATTTTGACCATTTCTCCATCATCCTACAATCTGAGTTATTTTCTTAATAATATGTAAATTAGATATTTCTCTTGATAATTGGATTTTTCGGTACCGGGAATATTGCTAGTATAAATAGGTAGGTGAATGAAGTTTGTAAAGATATTAAAGCTCATTTTCTAGTAACTTAATGCATTTGTAAGGGTTCATACTTTTCTAATGATAATGTTTAGGATTTTAAATGATCAGTTTGTTCTGACGCATGCACCCTTCATTGCACAACCTAGTGATTATCTTAACTCAATGGATAAGGCGTTGGCGTTCGAAGTGAAATGTAATGGGTTTGTGGGTTCTTCCACTTGATAAACCTCAAATAGGACGAAAGGTGTTCTCGGGATTCCACTGGTAGCCAGTATCAAACTTTAAATTGACTCATGTTGAGAGCATTTTGTATTATATACTTAGGCAGTTTATCAACAATGAAGGTCAGTGACCTAATAATTAAAGTAGTTTGTTTTATACTATTGAATTGTAAATTCAAAAGCCCGTTTTGCGTAATCCGCATGAATAATTGCATAGTGTTATTAATTCTCACATTAAAATTATGAATCAAAGTAGAGTACATTAATTTTTGTCTCTGTATCTATTTCGCATGTACATATGTGTTGCACTATCACATTAGAGTCATTTATATTGAACTTTTTTTCAGTTCTAATTTGTTTACGGACGATATTTCCAAACATTTTTGTTAGTATATTATGATCTTCAACAATTTGAATGAAACAATAACAGTTATGTTATACTTTTAGCAATTTCATTCCTATATAGGTCATTTGAATTGTTTGAACTTCACTATTTTGAGTGATAATAACTTGTATAAAAATACATGATCAATAACCAGTGATCTTTTTCTCCCCAGTTAGCATCTGAGTGTCAAATAACGAATTTTTTCCCATTTTTCTTCGGTAAAATCAATCATGTTTTCCGATCGTTTTAGTTTTGACCCACGTTCAACATTTTGCTTCACAACAATATTAAATCCTGCCCTGATGGCGATTCTTTTGCTAATTAAGGTAATTTTATATATTCCTTATATACTCATATTTGTTAATCAATTTGATCATTTTGAGTGTTCTTTCCAGCTGAGATTATTCCGGTCATTTAGAAGGGAAGACAAATGAAAACAAAAGCTTTTGTACATAATGGCTACAAAAGACTAATTTGAGTAACCAATGTCATATTCAGTGGTTGCATTATACGCTAGCAGTATTTTCAATACAACTCGGGCCGAATACCTGAAACATGTGGGGGAGCTTATATTGTCAGCATTCGGAAATAAATAAACAAATGAATTTCGATTGTTCCATAGCATTGTGTGATTCGCTTTTTCAGTGAGCAAATAAATTATACAAATAAGTACAAACTTAAATGGTAAACAAAAAAACAAATTGAATCAGATAGGTAGTGGCTGCAACATCATGTTTAAACATGCTTGCTGAAAGTGACTAAAGGTATTCACATTGACTGGTCATTAAATAGCGATCAATTTCACGTTTCTCTAGACCTTAATGCTGGTTATATTTTATCGACCAAGGTTCAGTATGTGTCACTAGTTTAAGTGACAGAACATTATGCGTGCTTCTATTAGAAATGCTAATCCCGTTGACCACAATGACAACGAAAGTTTCCTGATTAGACATTACCAAAAAATATGTTTTGCTGTTGGAGATAGTCAACAAATAATCCTAGATGTAAGCATCGTTCTAGCTGGTACTTGTCAACAAGGCATACCTTGCAGTTTTAGGAAGAAATTTTACTTTTCTCATTGTTATCCCGGTTGCTATTAATTTCTTGTTGGACTGAGAAACCTAAGTCCAGGGTTCCTCATCACTACCAGATGTAGTGACACTTCCACTCAATTCGCACTTACTGTTTCACAATGATAGTCTTGCTTTGGTTTGTTCATTGTGTTAAAATAAAGCTCCAAAGTCAAACGATATTTGGAGGATGACATTCACTCGGGTAGTAGATGTGACTAAATTTTGAATGTTTTATTTATTTGTTTCGAACAGAGTCGAAGCATTGTCTACTATCTGTTTGTGAACGCTTCTAAAATATATTAAGGTTCGATTATATTTGAATTATTCTTTGTGACATCTATGCTTAATTTATAACCTACCTGTCTATAACATCATCTGCATTACAGTAAGTACTGGAAAATCTACTGATCGGATAGCAATGTCATTCGCAGTGATGAACTGGAGAAATCCCTCATTGATTGTTTGTTTGTCATCCTAAAGGATAAACTGGAATGTGTTTTCATATAGCTTTTAAAGTAACAGCTCGGCATTATGTCCATTAATTATATATCTGATTATTTATAACTAATTGGGTTGTTACGGATATGCATTTAACTATCATAGATAATACTTGCAAAACAATATGTGAATTCCAATTTAGTCGCCAGACGATCGTACTATATTTTATTGGCATACTAAATATGGATTGCTGTTTTGTTTAATTCTGGTATTTAAAATGTCATAATCATTATTATAAAATCTAATTTTCCCTCATCTAGGTAATGTGTCCTATGCTCTTTTTGGGTGTGATCTATGCAGCTATCCAGTTGCATAATGGCAATTACTCATCGTCTATCAACAATCAGAAATCGAAAAGAGGATATCATTCTATTTTAGCGCAAACTGGTTTGACTGCAGTACTATCTAACCTAATAGCTATCCACTTTTTTGTTTGGTTGAAAGACGAAGGTAGTTGGTTAGATATAGGGACTAGTATTAGTCATTACGTTATTGCTATGTCTATTAGTCTAGCTGGATTTCTTTTCACATTATTGGGAAAGGAAATGTTAAGTTTTTCAGTGAGTTCTAACATACATCAAAAGCTGTTGAAAGTATCTAATAAACATGTATAATAACCACCTTTCTGATTATATGTTGTAATTATCCTTTAACGTGTTGAACTTTGGCTACGTTTTGTTTGACTTTTTATTGTACATGGAAAGCTACTTAAATCTAAAATAAAAGTGATATTAATAGACAAATGTTCTACTCAACTCAATGCTCTTAATTGTAAAGATATACCTTACGTTATACGATATGATCAATGACAGCAGAGGGAATAAATACGTTAATGAGTAAGTAATGTCTAATAGAAATTATTAATCCGACTGAGCAAGCAGATGTAGGTACATGTATTTGGTTCATAAAAATCAGAAATACCACTCAAATCGGAGTAGTAAGAACATAATTTGAAGGCGAGAGCTGAAGCCACAAACTAGTCACAATTCGATGATCGTTTAATGACACATTAAATTTTAATTACTTCTTTTTTCCATTAGCGTATCCTGGTTTGACAAGACCTGAGAGTGTACAGCCATATCTAAGAGTTATTGTTTTAGTACTGGTAGTAACAAAAACACTGAGTATTCACTAGTTTATATGATTAGTGTAGAAACTAAGTGTAGCAGCGACTTATTCATTAGGGAATTCGACTTTTAGTCAACAGGTGGGGCATAAGTCTAAGAACTCTTGATTATTGTTTTAAAATGATACAGTAATATATCGTTGATTGAAGAGCAGATGGTGATAATCTAACAATATTGCCTTATCTATCATTCATTTTGCCTCAACTGTCTTGTAGTCACACCTAATGATTATTACATCGCATACTAGAACGGAATGGCCGTCCGGTGCTTCTAGGTTTTCCATGATTACTTACTTACGTCTGTTACTCCTCGTGAAGGAACATAGGCCGCTCACCAGCATTCTCCATCAAACCCTGTCCTGGGCGATCCTTTCGAGCTCCGTCCATTTGTAATTCATCGTTTTCATATCTGCTTCTATTATCCGACGCAATGTGTTCTTTGGCCTTCCTCTTTTCCGCTTCCCTTCAGGATTCCAAGTTAGGGCTTGCCTCGTGATGCAGATTGGTGATTTCCGTAGTGTATGTCCTATCCATTTCCATCGTCTTTTCCTAATTTCCTCTTCAGCTGGAAGCTGGTTTGTTCTCTCCCACAGAAGGCTGTTGCTGATGGTATCCGGCCAGTGGACGTTGAGTATCTTGCGTAGACTTGTACTTTCTTGATGATGGCTGTAGTAGTCCTCCAAGTTTCAGCTCCATACAGTAGGACTGCCTTGACGTTCGTATTGAAAATTCTCACTTTGATATTGGTTGAAAGTTGTTTTGAGTTCCATATGTTCTTCAATTGTAGGGATGCGGCCCTTGCTTTGCCAATCCTCGCCTTTACGTCTGCATCCGATCCCCATTGTTCATCGATGATGCTTCCCAGGTCCGTGAAGGATTCCACGTCTTGCAGAATTTCACCACTAAGTGTGGTTGGGTTAGTGTTCTCAGTGTTGTATTTGAGAACCTTGGTTTTTCCTTTGTGTATGTTGAGGCCCACTGATGAAGAGACTGCTGCTACACTAGTTGTCTTCACCTGCATTTGTTCGTGTGTATGGGATAGGATGGCTAGGTCATCTGCGAAGTCCAAATCGTCTAATTGATTTTAAGCTGTCCATTGAATGTTGTGTTTTCCCTCAGATATCGAGGTCTTCATAATCCAGTCGACCACCAAAAGAAAGAGGGAGGGAGAGAGTAAACAGCCTTGTCTGACTCCGGTCCTTACTTGGAATGCATCTGCCAGCTGTCCTCCATGCACGACTTTGCACTGTAGTCCGTCGTATGAGTCCTGGATAATGTTGACAATCTTCTCAGGAACTCTGTAGTGTCGAAGAAGTTGCCATGACGTTTTCATATCTACACTGTCAAACGCCTTCTCAAAGTCAATGAAGTTGATGTATGATGATGAGTTCCACTCAAGTGATTGTTCGACGATGATCCGTGGTGTCGCAATTTGGTCTGTGCACGACCGATTGACATGTAAAGGGAGATCTGTGTGTGCTGCTTCATTGTCCGGTAGATTCAATGGAGCTAGTCTATTCAAGAGTTCCTCGAAGTATTCTACCCACCTGCTCCTCTGTTCTTGATTGACTTGCCTTCTTTGTCTTTGACCGGCCTCTCTGGTTTACTGTATTTCCCTGATAGTTTCTTCGTTGTATCGTAAAGCTGTTTCATATTTCCTTCTTTTGCAGCTTTTTCCGCCGTTGTTGCTAATTCTTCCATGTATTTCGGCTTGGCAGCTCAAATGCTCTTCTTCACTTGCTGGTTTGTTTCTATGTATTCAGCTTGTGCTTGGACTTTCTCTGCTCGTGTTCGGCTGTTGTTTATTGCTGCCTTCTTGTTCTTCCTTTCTTTGATCTTGTCCAGTGTTTCTATAGAGATCCATTCCTTATGATGGTATTTCTTTAGACCCAGAACCTCTTGACACGTTGAAGTTAATGCTTCTTTGATACCTTTCCAGTTGTCCTCCATAGTAGTTTCTTCTTCCTTCAGTAGATCTTGTGAGGCTTGGAACCTGTTGCTGAGAGCTATCTTGAATTCATTGAGTTTGTCAGTATCTCGAAGGAAGGCTGTATTGAACATTTGTATTGCTGTTTGTCCACTTGTCCAGTTCTTCTTTAGCTTCAGTTCTAAATTGGCCAAAACCAAGTGATGATTCGAAGCTACGTCAGCTCCTCACCTGGTTCTCACATCTTCCATTGTCCTACGGAATTTTTTATGGATGCAAATATGATCTATCTGGTTCTCTGTAGTGTGGTTCGGTGAGATCCATGTAGCTTTGTTTATACGTTTGTGTGGAAATATTGTGCCTCCTATGACCAATTTGTTGAATGCACACAGATTTGCAAATCTCTCCCCATTTTCGTTTCTCTCTCCCAGTCCATGTCGTTACATGATATTTTCATATCCGGTGTTGTCTATTCCGACTTTGGCGTTTAGATCTCCCATCAAAATGGTGAGGTTGTTTCTTGGGCACTTCTCTATGATTGATTGCAGCTGCTCGTAGAATTGGTCTTTAATGTCGTCGTTGCTATCATTGGTGGGTGCATAACACTAGATAACATTCATTGTAATTCCCTCCATCTTTGTTTTTAATGAGGCTTTGATGATTTTGGATCCGTGAGATTCCCATCCTGCAAGTGCATTTCGTGCTTCCTTGGACAACATTAGAGCAACTCCCTGAGTGTGTGGAGCATTTTCTTCTTCGTGACCGGAGTAGAGCGGCATCTCTCCCGCATCTAACTTTTTCTGTTCAACTTGGGTCCAATGAGTTTCGCCGATTCCGAGTACTGCCAAATTGTATCTCCTCATTTCCGTTGGTATTTGTCTGGTCTTCTCGGTCTCCCATTGTCCGGACGTTCCATGTATCTATAAAAATTGTTGCTCTGGTTGTTAGAAGAGGCATCGGCCTCGTGATTTCCGAAGGAACTCGGCTTTCACCATGACGCGTCATAACTCTTCTAAGCGAAGAACTTCTAACTCCCAGGACAGAGTTTAAATGGTTTGAATTAATTTTTCTGGTAAGCGTTTTTTTAGCGAGTTAATTTTCCACGGGATGGGGACGCTAACCCCATCCCCAACCCTCCTCCTTTGCCCAGGCTTGGGACCGGCAGTAACTCTAGAAGAGCTACAGGCGGAGTTTTTTCCATGATGGTCTAGCTTTAATTGACTCATGAATTCAAATATTAAATTACTAAAATCTATACAAAACCCCTTCCTGATTTTACTTTTGACGGAATTTTAACGTTTAAGTTCTAAAAAAATTGCAACAGTTTAAAAAACTAGTCATTTTCATAACGAAATCTGTTTATTTCAAAAGATTATGTCTGAACTTGTTTAACAAATGTCCGTGCAACTAAAATTGGAAATATTAAAGATGCATCGGCATTAATCTTAACCGGTTCAGCTAAACCTTTAATTTTTCCCCAACTTACAGCTTCATCTGGTCTAGCACCGGCGTCACTACCATCAAATTCTTGTCCTGTGTTGATAAGTACGCAATAATCAGCTCCATTTCGCATCAAATTTGCATTGAATGTGTGATGTTTTATAAGACCACCACCTAGTACTATCATTCCTGTAGTACGAGCATTAATTGCCAGTAAATTGATATTTCGAATATCTTCAACTAGATCTATTTTTAAACCAGGGGATCGATAAGTGTGACTAAAAAGGACATCACCCAGCGAACCATCGGTTAAACCGGGACAAAATACCGGAATTTTATTCTGATGTAAAATTAATAGGATGAACAGAATGAAAGTTAGAAAGAATGAACATGCAATTAATGGAACAACAAGATAATGATAGGCTGATAGACAATCAGTGATACTGTTTACAGACGTGTTTTAAGCACATGAATTTCCGGAAGTATAGTAATTAAAATCGAGGAATCGGACTGAATTGCCGGTCCCATCAAGAAAACGAATCAACTCGTTGTACTTAACCAGAAAGCAGTTGGCTTTCATTTCATCTCAACATAGTATTACTTAGAAACAACAAACCGTACTCCGAATACCTGTGATCCAATAAATAACATGGTAATCCACAAATTGACTCCAAACAGTATATCAATACAACTAAGTCTCAACCATTTTGTGATAGTAAACAATAATATCCATGGCTAATGGGACATATCTTGGATTTATGGCTTTCTGATAAACAACTTTAAGATCAAAGTGGTGATCTGGTTTGTCCATAGTGAGAATCCGGTCAATTTTACACAAACTGGAACGCTTGTTTTCTAAATTAATTTGTTATGGAGGACGGTTGAGGAATTAAGCTTACTCTAAGTTAGAGTAATTGGTTTCAAGGATTCTTAGAGACTCAGATACTGAATTTTATGGACTTCCAAATGTAGATGTGGCATGAAATTATAGAACGAACAACATACTTCTTGAGTGAATACGATCTGATAGTCATCCACAAAGTTTTTCAAGGACTTGAAATAATTGTCTTTACACCAATAGAGAGACGGCATCAGGGATTAGTTTTGTCGAGAACATTACTCAAAAATGTCACGCATACAAAACTACTCATAATTACCACAGAACACATCACTACCAAGTATCTCAAGAAACGCTATTTCGACAAATCAATAACAGTGATCATTTGTAACGCTGCTCCAACTTACTCTGATGCTAACTTTGAACATATCGAAAGAGATTGCTTAACTTGGCGATTGCCATATTATGCTTAATAATAAACACATTCTGATTATATCCTCACGCAATGTGGAGTAAAAGCAGGTGAACACCCAACTATCTAAGAGTTTACACAATGGTTTACAGCAGTTACAAGTCGCAGAAAACAGACGAAGTATGTTGCAGAATAGAAAAGGCACTAAAAGTGGGTAACTCAGTAATTCTGTAACTTTATTGAAGATGCCGGGAAAAAATGAATAGTGAGGATATAACACAAGGTAGGCTATTGATAACAGTTTGGAGGATTTAGTTCGAAAGTTGGATGAAATATTTCATCAGCTACAACCCGTCTGTAGTCTGAATGGGACATTGATATTGCTCCACCACCCCTTACGTAAACTGAAAAAGTGTGACTGTTTGAAAGGATTTGATAGTATGAATCCACATGCTTTCAAGGATGGCATTCAGAAACTGAGTCGCACTTTAATGTGAGATGATGAAAATCAAACGGTTCTAACAGAATCATTTCAATAAATACCATATTCATTCGTGTGGGTCCAGTCACCTAACACACTAATTTTAACTAGCAGTTTGAGAATGGAAACGTAATACTCTTTACAAAATGGCAAATAAAGCCCAAACTTGTTATCAATGAGAATAGGTGTAGTGTCAAAAGAATACAATCACTTACTTTATAGCACCAATAATATATGGAGTCTTTATGGTTGATTTCTTTACCTAGACGATTGATCAACTTAGACGGGGTCCAATTTATATTCTAAATAACATACGAAAACAGTGTGAGTTTTATATGTACTACTGAATAACAGAAATACTTTTATCTACTGAGTGATGAAAATCCTTATAAAAAACCTACTCATTATTATGTGTAAAATAACTGTAACCAAGATACCCTTTCAAAACTAAACAGATAAGACAGTACTAGTTTTTCTTCCTCTCTATGGGTGACGTTAACACCAAGTAAACTGACCTCGAGTTGCATGAACAAAACATTTGCCCTGTTTCAAGGATATTAAATATAACCACCATGAGTCGAGAAAATGAGATTGTAGTCGGTTGTGTGGATCAAATTAGATTTTCGGTATCATGTGTTCATTCAAGTTATTAGTGAACATTTTTATTATCTTAATAAATGTTGATTAAATAGTTCTATTCTAAAATACAGGAAGCACAACTGTCATTACTACTTTGATTGTGTTGAATAGGACAGTGGGATATATTGTTTCCAACTATCTGACTACTAAGCAAGGCATAGATATTATTGATAGTATAGGGTTCTATGGCCACGATTGCTAAATTGCGAAGCTTACGTTGCTGTGTGTTGGATAATATAAAAGTCTGACTCAAATATAAAATAATGAATACGAAGACTGAAGAGATACTCAGAATTCAGGAATCTTTTATAAAAACCAACAATTTACATTAGTTTGAAATTGGTTCTGTTTGTAAGCCTTATCAGAAAGTTGAAACTGTCTCTATGAACAAGAAATTACTTTATAAAAAATTGGAAACAAGCTAACTGATAAGGAAATCGAATAGACATTTCGAAGTTAGTATCCTTAAATCCACAAGCTAAAATGCATAAATCTATCAATGAGAAAATTATACACCATGAAGTATCCTCCCATTTTCGAACAACGAGAAGTATCATACGCCGGATACACATAATATCAACACCCATAATAATTGAATTTCAAAATAAACATACCTGGGAATTTTGCTCTTCTAAAACTTCATCTAGAATGGGTAGAAGCCATTGTTCAAATTTAACATAATTATTATTTGGTACAAGTAGATTGCCAATACGATTTACACCGATTTCTCTTAATTCATGACCACGCCATCTTTCAAAATCTCCTATATATGAAGGAGCCAGACATTTGATAAAGTCTTCTTCTACACCACCAGCAGAAGTGACTATCACATCAACCTGTTGATGGAAAAATGTTCGTTGAAAAATCTTGACACAAAAACCAGCCGATATGACGAATGATACTATAATAAATCTGGTTGAGTTACTTGATTTGAGATACTCTCATTGTAGCTTTAAGGGCTGACGGAAAAATACCTAAAATTTGTGGTGTTTACAGCATGACGCTCAATGCGTCTTTTCTCTGAGAAAACTAAGACCACATTTAATTATTCCTTATGGGCATCTGGAATATGAGCAAATAATAACTAAAGCATAATGTGAGTCTAAAAATCGGTCACAATAATTGACATGAGCACGTTGCTACGATTTACACGTTACAGGTCAAGGATTCTATGCAGTTTCAGCTGTTCATTCTAATAAAGAAAAATATTAGACCCAATGCTACCAGTTCCAACAGCAAAGCTGTGAGATTTGCCCGAGCTAGTAATTAACTTATGGTTCAGATTTAAAGTATAGTTTCAGACAGTACTAAGTGATACTGAATGCACTTCCTAGATCAAATCACTTGATTTCTACTCCAAACCATTAGACACCTTAGTGACGAAAGAATAGGAGATTTCACAAGACTCACGTATACCTCCAACCTTTCCACATTTGTAACGGTGGGGCAGACGAAAATGACATGAATTTCGTGAGTCTCATGATATGAAAAACAAAATCTAATATCCGACAACAAATTCAAAACAGATTTTGAATTATTCATTCAAATGACTTATTGTGATAATAATTCGTAAGCGGTAGCTCTAATTTAGCAAACAAAATGGAAAAGCATTTTGCATACATGCAAGTTAATTCATGTATGAGAGATGTTAATAAGTTAAATAAAAATAATAAACCTTGTTTTGATGATTTGGTCAAATTCAATTCACTTCACTAATTAATCTCAACTCATGTTCCCCAATACTCATTTTTGTTTGGCAAATGGAAGCGAGGTTTCAAGTTGCAACTAGAAGTTTATTAAATGGGGTCGGATGATACTACTTCTGTAAATAGTCCATTAACGTTACAGTGTGTGAACTTATCAGCCTTGAATCAAATGAAATTATAAACAGACAGATATTTCAAGTTGTCAAACTATCAGTAAACCATTTCGTTAAACCATAAAAGTACAGTCAGGTGGACAGAAAACCCATTAGTATAGCATGGACCTTCATAATCTAATCAATTCGACAATTTTTTACTACACTGAAACCATGTCCTCCTATTTGATACACTTCACGGAAAGATCTAGACTGACAATTCCACCCCATAACACATGAATTACGACAAAAAGACACCAATAATGATATATTTAATCCAAATAAGAGTAAAACATATCTTTACTTTGGTTAAAGATAAAATTTGAAAGAAAAAATGAGACTTTGGTAGAATTTACTAAATCTTACCATGTTATGTTCGGCCAGAAAACGTATAACTTCTCGAACACCAGAGCTCACCATATTTGATGTATAAGCCAAAAATATAGTACATTCTGATAAAGGTCTATTTAAAGGATGAAAATCTTGTAAAACTTGAGCTAATTCAATTTCTTCGCGTGAAGTAGGTTTTAAATTCCGTTTATTAATCTGTTGAAAATGATTGGAAAGTAACTTTATCATAATAAATGGGCATATTTAGGAAAACATTTGAAAAAAGTTCAGACTAGTTGACAAATCAAAAGACTAAGTGAATGAAAAGGAAAGGTATGTATAATTTAGAAAAATTATGTGTTAAAAATCAACAATATATAAGCACAATTAAAAGCATAAAGAGGTTTGTGATAATTAAACATGAGTATTGGTTTCAGTAGAAATTTTATTATTTGTCAAAAGACAATAGACACCACTACACATAATTATTTTTATGAATTTTAAATATCACAAAGTATTGTACTTAATATAAAAAGAAACTATAAAAACTTCGAAATATCTACCATTTCATTCAGAACATGTTCAGCCTTTGCAAAATGAGTTGCCTGAAATCCAATACATTCAAAAGATGAGAACAAAGCATCGTAATTTAGACCAGCGTTAAAATCATATCCCTTTACTTGAAGATGAACACCTTCTGGCAAACTAGTACATGGTTTAAGAACAGCGTCTACGAAACCAGGAGGTCGGTCATCATGACAAGAAACCTGAGAGTGATTCTTTTCCTGAAACAAGGTGATGAGAAAAAGCAAATGAATAAGCAACAAATCTAGTATTTTAACTTAAAACATATATACATATATTTACAAAGTAGATTGAAGCACACATGGAGTGTAAATTTGGGGTATACTAAAGTACTATCCAAACCAGATTACTAGTGTTAACCTATGTGTCCACCACCTTCCATTTCTTTATATCAGCGATACTCTTTTCGATCTCATCAATAGTTGGAATACTTACGTTAATTTCACATCTAGGAAGATAAGGGGTAACTCAGAGAAAGTTGAGCTAATCCTTAGTGTTCTATACATTGAAATAACCCTCTAGATGAGGAGGATAACGATTCTATCATTTTCTGAGAGACCTTTACTAACAGCTGTTCTTTTCAATGCCAGTTTCCTTAGTGAGGCGGAATGCTTTTCTGTCCCTTCATGTCATTCAGCACACTTGTTGTTCTGCAGGGCTTAGTAGTGTTTGTGTAAGGGAACTAAAATGTACGGACAAGTTTAACAAATACTTCTTGCAACCATTAGGAAACTCGTTTCATGTGAACCATATATATGGTTTTAGAGAATCCTTGAGTTACAGCTGATCTCAGTTGATGATTAAGACCTTAATGCTAACTCTTAAAATTCAATTACAAACCACAACTATCACTCACAAATTTCAGCTGAAGGCTAAATGATCGTCGATTCGAAAAGACAGCCCTGAGGATCCTCAGAATTTATAACGCTTTATTAATCCTCATTTAAGTAAACATCTTTTCGAGCAGATAAGTAGTTCAAGTTTGCAAGTAGCTTATATTTTTGCCGAAATTAATATAATACTTGAGTTTAAGGATCATACTATAGTTAGACGCGTAACTACTCATATTTAGTATGTATTTAGTATCACGTCAGTATAACCTGTATAGTAAATGGTTTCATCAAATGAATAAGGTGGATTCCCTGAGTGAAACGCTAATATCAATTACTCGGGATACAATATGAAACATACTTCCATCCTCAAGGTAGCCACAGCATCGGGTACCCGTGGTCAGGTAACGATCTATTAGCATCGTCCGCCGCTGAATACCTCTGAGCACTTGAAGGTCAAACTGTCGTAAGAAGATTGGTGAGTCACCTTGATAGTTTGTAAGCTTTTCCAGAAGCAACTGGGTCAAGACAAACTGAAATTTGATTTAAGTTCAGACGCATTATGTCTGATACCCTCCGCTGTTTGGGTAGCAAACAAGATGCTAAATCTCGAGCGCCACTTAAAAGGATAGTTGTATTTTTCCTCTCTGAGTCAAATTTGATTGTTTATCAAGAGTCTAGACCACTGTTTCTAGCTTTAACTAAGGTTACTTCAGTTGGAGTAACATCAGGAGTACTGCCTTTTTTTATAAAAGTTCATGTACTTTTTTTAGTACATTCGCTTTTTGTCTGTTGCACTTGTGAGCCTGACACTTCGCGGTTCCACTTTTTTGTGTAGCGGCAAATAAATCTTCAAGATGAAGTCTTCGACATTGGATACTGGCCACATTAGTTTTAATGAACTCACCTAGCTGAAGGCGCTCGGTCATGCATCTACACCAGAACACGAGTGGGAACTCCGTGCTCAACATCCCCTGCAGTCGCTAGCCAGATTGGATCAGACTATCCTCAATATATTAGTAGACTATCAAATATATCTACGAACCTCTTCGCTTCTGTCATTTGATCTCACTTGGTGGGTGCGATTCATATTAGAAGGTGTTACTGATTGAAGTGTTGTCAAACTGCAAATACCTGTGACATCTTCAGTGGAAAAAAGAAACTCAACGACCGGACTGTTGACACCCTATGGAAAGGATCATGTAGTGCGATGAGTGCAATAGCCTGTACCATGAATTATGCACAAATCCGAAGCTAGCGGGTTTCAAAAGGTTTAATAAAATGGATGCGCGTAATTATGTCATCAATGCTGTTGAGACACAAACAGCTTGCTATCCAAAACTATTGCAATGGCAAGCGATTCTAAAAGTTATAATACCAAGCGTGTAGTTGTAAATAAATCCGCGAAATGAATAGTTCTGCAAGTCTTCGACACTTGATGCTAACCTTATTGGTTTTACTGCACACACCTAGCTAAAAGGACTCAGTCAAGCATCCACATAAGATCATGAGTACGATACGTCACACATCCCTTGCTACAACTAGCCATCGTGGTTCAAATGCTTCCCGATATATTGATAGCCTTTCAAATATTTCTTTGAATTCTTTCGTTTCTGACTTGACTGCGTTGGAATACTCCAACTCCAAAGGTGTTAAGTTAAAGGCGTTATCAAGCTTCGAATATCTGTTTTATCTTCAAGTATACTAGAGAGGTATCAACCGGTGCATTCATCCGAGGTAAGCTCAAGGTTGATTTGCTAGCATGAACCAATGGAGGAAAAACAGACTTCAAAGGTGTTTGTTAAAATTAAAAGCTCAAGATTAAATGAGTTTTGACATGAAAACACTAGGCGCATTGAGAATGACGCTTGGAGGAAACGCTATTAGGTATACAATCAGATTGATTGTCAGTGATGGATTTCAGTTGTGTGAAATAATCATGAACAAATCAAAGGTCACCGCTTGACCATTGAAATCCCTATAAAATATTAGACTTGTGAACACCTTCGTCTCTGTCATACAAGGGTTTATGAAGTAAATATCAGTCAAGGAAACAGGAATCGTGTGTCCAGTTTCATTTGCATGTTCATTAAATTATTTAACTAACCGTTTGTTACCTTTATAGCAGACTCTTGGTAACTTCATGAAGTTAGTTCCGTTTACTTAACGAAAAAAAGTGTAATGTTATCACAAAACATTATTACGTATCCAAAATCTGCATACTCAATATGAAGTTTATATTCATATTGTCGTAAATAATAACTACAGTGTAATAAATCTTACGTTTATTTGATTATTTCTTTGCGTGCTCAGTTTCACCAATTCACCAGTTAATTTTCTCACATGACTTGGCCTCACTTTTTAACCCTAATGACGGGGACATAGTAGCCTGCAGAATTTTCGGGAAACACGGTTGCATATATGGATCCTGTGCTGGGGGACACAAGTTTGTCGAGAGTCTAACACCGTCGATGTTATGGCGGCGTTATGTTGTGACATATTCTCACTAGTGTCGATGCGTGTTCGACTGATGCTAATATTGTCGAAGACACTCTTCTGTACTTCATTGCTCGTCCTTATTCATCCGTTACAGGGCTGCCTTTTTTCAAGGTTGCTGACAATTATTTTCTCAGAAATTTTAATAGAACGGTGGTGTTGCGTAGTGAATCCTGAGTATTTGTATTGTATGTACCTCATACTCACCTGTGATCTGACCTACAAGATCTGTTGTAGGCAGTCGCTATAAGATTTCAGCATGCTCTGTGAAACCAACCTTCGCATTTGCCACAATGCATACCACAGGTAAGAGTAAAACGGCATCCAGATTGCTTACAGCAGGTTTTCATGGCTATAGTGATGTATGAATTGCTAGATAGATCTGTAGTGGTATTGGTTCCCCACCACACGGTTTTAGCTCCACAGACATGGTCATTCTGCATAACTTGTCTTTATTCACATTAAATATATTATTCTATCTTCAGCACAAGTGTGTTTGTCAGAAGTACTAAGTATCATATTGTTAAATGTCACGATACGATGAGTCAGTGTAAACAATGACGTGACTTCCATGTAAGATCTTATAGATCAGGTAGTCATACCATTACAAATCTAAAATTTTGAGATGTGGTCTATTATTAGATTAGTACTAACACCGAATAAGACTATAAATCCAGAAATACTAGCAAAAGTTTACGACAGTAAAACAAAAAACACTGTACTCGAAACAGATGAAAATGGATGGTACAAAAAGTGAGGATGTACTGAGACTAGCCTAGAAGTGAGAACTATAAAGACCGATTAGTGAACTTAGTCAAAACCACAGTTTACTGTTAACTCGGATAACGCTCAAAAAGAAAAGTAATCTGCCTAACATTAGGCTTAGAACAGATTCTTTGTATCAAAAATAATTCTTTTGTTGCGGTAGGACATAGCAGAAGTCTAAGAAATGCGAGCCACGTTAGAAACAAACTTCTCGCTCATAAAATGCAGTGCATCGGAATCAGACGCTTGCCTTCAAGATTTCAATATTGGTGGCCAATATTTTTCCGGAGACCACACACCTAGATCACCACCATGATCTAGACTAAGAAGACGGCTTCAGTCAATTTTCTATGCTCCATTTCAAATGAATTTATGCTTTAAGTCTAAATATGACAACTATCAATCTGAATTTTAGCCGTGTAGTCACACATGCCGAAGGTAAGTAAGTGTGCATTTCTTGGTCACTGTAACCATCATAGATTTGTTTTGAAAGAGCAATAGTTGGATAAGGAAATACAGTTTTATCAGTAAAAATGAGCTAAAACCTAATACTAACAACAACTTTGGAGTCACAATCAGTTGGATGTGTCAGCTGCACAGATCAATCTACAACATGTGGACTGGGAAGTCCACCGTCAACATTATATGGCCGCTCATTGAGACTTCTTACATCATAGGATCTTATGTGCTACAGAACGGTTTGTCCAGAAAGCAGTCCCTGAAAGTTGCAACGAACATACAGTCATCAATGATCACACCCTTCGGTTGCCAAGACGCGAAGTGCACTAGTGGGCGGAATGTAAACGAACTGGTAAGAACAATACAAATATGTAGTGCAAACAAGCGAAGGGCCAATACAAAAATTCAGCAAGGGAATACAGGCTTCAGTGTCAAGTAAAGTTAGTCAATAAATTCGTCCCCGATCGAGAAAGCTTATTCCGTCATGCAGCCTCACTTCAACAAGTCAACTCTGAGTTTCCCAGTTGTTAAGTCATAATGGCCCAACGATCAGCGAGGGTGACTTAGAACATTAATTTTTGACATTCCAGCAGTTCCATACTAACTAAATCGACAAGGTTTCCTGTTGCAACTCGACAGGACACTCAAAAAGAACCTGAGTTCCGACTTCGTGTATCAGAAACTGCAGCACCCAACACAAGGACACCTCTCCTGAACCCGATATGGTCCATTTTGCTATACTAATCAAAGCAGCTTCAATCTTGGCAACACCACGTTATATCCGCAAATTCTCTAAGCCGAGATACTTACTAACTTACTTACTTACGTCTGTTACTCCTCGTGAAGGAACATAGGCCGCTCACCAGCATTCTCCATCAAACCCTGTCCTGGGCGATCCTTTCGAGCTCCGTCCATTTGTAATTCATCGTTTTCATATCTGCTTCTATTATCCGACGCAATGTGTTCTTTGGCCTTCCTCTTTTCCGCTTCCCTTCAGGATTCCAAGTTAGGGCTTGCCTCGTGATGCAGATTGGTGATTTCCGTAGTGTATGTCCTATCCATTTCCATCGTCTTTTCCTAATTTCCTCTTCAGCTGGAAGCTGGTTTGTTCTCTCCCACAGAAGGCTGTTGCTGATGGTATCCGGCCAGTGGACGTTGAGTATCTTGCGTAGACTTGTACTTTCTTGATGATGGCTGTAGTAGTCCTCCAAGTTTCAGCTCCATACAGTAGGACTGCCTTGACGTTCGTATTGAAAATTCTCACTTTGATATTGGTTGAAAGTTGTTTTGAGTTCCATATGTTCTTCAATTGTAGGGATGCGGCCCTTGCTTTGCCAATCCTCGCCTTTACGTCTGCATCCGATCCCCATTGTTCATCGATGATGCTTCCCAGGTCCGTGAAGGATTCCACGTCTTGCAGAATTTCACCACTAAGTGTGGTTGGGTTAGTGTTCTCAGTGTTGTATTTGAGAACCTTGGTTTTTCCTTTGTGTATGTTGAGGCCCACTGATGAAGAGACTGCTGCTACACTAGTTGTCTTCACCTGCATTTGTTCGTGTGTATGGGATAGGATGGCTAGGTCATCTGCGAAGTCCAAATCGTCTAATTGATTTTAAGCTGTCCATTGAATGTTGTGTTTTCCCTCAGATATCGAGGTCTTCATAATCCAGTCGACCACCAAAAGAAAGAGGGAGGGAGAGAGTAAACAGCCTTGTCTGACTCCGGTCCTTACTTGGAATGC